ATTCTAGAGAAATGACTTACTTGTAAATATTAAGGACTTGTGTAACAATTAATATTTACACACTAGCCCCTACAAGACTAGTATATAAAGGGGCCATTCATTTGTAAAATCACCAAGCAAAACAATCAAGTTCTCTCTAGTACAAAAGCTTCATTTGACAATTCTCTTGTGTTCGATCATTCTCTTAGCGATCTTGAGTGTAGTAAGGCTGACTTGGCATAGCAAGAACATGAGCAAGTTGTGCAAGATCGTGAGCGAGTTGTCAAGTGACGCACATGTGCTTAGTTCAAGACTAAGAACGTGACAATGTGGTATCAGACCAAAGGTTATGGCTAAGAGAATGTTAGAAAGAATACAAGAGGTTGCTAGAAGGAAGTTTTGTAGGAAACCATGACCGAAATTACCAAGGGCTTGGTACTTGTAGAAGGGATCAGCGTGAAGGTCCCTAAGCGAAAGCAATATGGTGGTGCACGGGATGCACACGAGGCGGTAGACTTACTTTGGAGGATGGATAAGTACTTTGAGGTAGTCAAGGAGGATGATGAAGTTGTTAAGGTACGCAACACCTCAATGTACTTGACCGATGCTGTCGTGCTGAGGTGGCGTCAGAAGTGTGCCAACAATGAAATAGGGCTATGCAAGATTGAGTCGTGGGAGCAGTTCAAGAAGGAGTTGAAAAAGCAATTCTACCCGATGAATGTGGTGTACGAGGCTAGGCGGAAGCTAAGGAAGCTTCGACAAACGACCATAATTTGGGAGTATGTGCGCGAGTTCACTACTTAAATGCTGCAAATTCCGTCATTATCCGAGGAAGATTCCCTCTTCTACTTCATGGATGAGTTACAAAATTGGATAAAGCGAGAGTTAAGAAGACATCAAGTAGCCGACATGGACGAGGACATAGGGGTAGCCGAGTCGCTCGATGAATTTAAGATGGAGCCTGTCAAGTTCAAAAAAGGCAACGCCGAAAGGGGTGGGGGAGATCATGACAAGGACAACGGAGAAAGGCATAGCCGAGGTATACAAGGGTGATGGCAAGGGGCCATCCCATAACGGACAGGGGTCCAAGAAAAGCGGTAAGGGTCCGAAAAACTATAGCTAGTACGTGCCTAAGAGAGGGTGCTAATTCTGCAAAGGATCACATCAGGCAAGTGAATGCCCAAAGTTGGGGAAGCTTGTAGCAATGATCGAAAACATTGCTCAGGCATATAAGGGTGTCATATGAGGGACCACCTGCATTGGGGGGATGCGCTTGGAATCTAAGCTGAACGTAGAAGATTCCAAAGCGTATCTTAGCACCATGCAAATGGAGCATGATGGCAGCAAGAAAAGTTGGGCGGACATAGTTGAAGAGGATGGCGAGTTACAAAGTGATAGCATGCTATCAGACTTAGACAATACACCGAGCAGAAGGGTCAAGTTTGCTGGCAAGGCTGTGACCACGGAGGGCAGTCAAATAGGGAGTGCACGCATAGACCCGATGCTTGAGAAGTTTCTAGACTTAGTTGAGTCATGAGGAGATTCAGGCCATGAGCAAGGAGAGGCATCTGATGGGCGGAGGATTGAGGCCATCAATTCTAGCTGTCCAAAGTACAAACGACGTAAGAAGAAATGTGACCGGTACCTTGTGAATTGGGAAGGCGAACCGCTCCATAGAGCATCATGGCTAATGGACAAAGATCTCTGGCGATGCCAAGGCGAGGTGCACATGTACGCGTTGATGCTTTGTGCCGAGGGCGGCAAAAAATTAGGTGGGGGAAAGTGTCATGGCCTGCCATATTATCATGCCACGTAGGTGCCACTTGGCATATATTTTTGCCATATGGAAAGCTTACATAGGAAAGAGGCTAGAACTTGTAGGAAAGTTCTAGAGAAATATAGAGGTTTCCCTGGGAAGACCCTAGAACCCTATAAAATTGTTAGGAAAGCCCTTAGAAGATTCTAGCTATGTAGAATATTCTAGAGAAAGGACTTACTTGTAAATATTAAGGACTTGTGTAACAATTAATATTTACACACTAGCTCCTACAAGACTAGTATATAAAAGGGCCATTCATTTGTAAAATCACCAAGCAAAACGATCAAATTCTCTCTAGTAGAAAAGTTTCATTTGACAATTCTCTTGTGTTCTAACATTCTCTTAGCGATGTTGAGTGTAGTAAGACTGACTTGGCATAGCAAGAACGTGAGCAAAGATCATAAGTGAGTTGTCAAGTGTTGTNCGATCTTATCACGCTTAAAGATCAAATTCTTGTTGTCACTAGACTTTGCAGCATAATCACCAGTGATAACTTTACCAACCCGAAACTCTCTTTCTAAAGCTCCACTTGAAAAGCAACATCAGCAAAAAACAAACAAAAATAGTTGTGTTGCCACTGTCCTTCTAAGTGCTCCCAACTGTAGGAAAGGCCTGAACTTGTTGCTATGGAATAACCTGGTCAACGCACTCCTAACTAATCAATTATGTTAGGGTGACACCTGAATCATGATGTTTCTTCTCAGACTTTATAGTCAGTTGTGTAAGATAGGTCATAGAAGTGCTCTATGTTTTCATAATAATTCTTGTATGTTATTTACAAGGTATCTTAGCACTTGAAAAAGAGACTAATAATCGTGGAATGCCTCAAGTAGCAGATTTCATGCATTTTGGCTTTGAATATCTCATATGCTAGGTCGTGTTAATACGATCTTTTAGATAATACTAATTGCTAAATGCATTTCGATACCTTCCAATTATCTTGTTACTCTTTTGCATACCATATGTTATGGCTCTATGTGTCATTGTCATTAATCGTTTTATTTAAGACAAAAATGATATTTTTGGAAGTTATATCTTGTTACATGAAACAAGTATGCAAGTATGCTTCTATGCTATTAAATTCTCCTAACGACTTTACAATTAGGATGTCTTTGGATACAAATTAAAATCTATAAATTGTAGGGACATAAAATAAAATGAGATTTGGTCTTCTTTTCACTAGGAAATAGAATTATTATAACACTCTAAATATTAGATTAACTTGTAAAATGTACAAATACTATGAATATAAAATAAACTGGTATTTGGTGTTCCTTTCACTGGGAAATAGAATTGTTGTTGTTGGGGTTTCAACTGAGGTGTGAATGGAAAATAAAGAGTTATTTCCCCAAAAGACATCACTAGAAAAAATACATTTTCTTTCGACCCATTTGCTGGCTATAAAGAGAGAGGCATTGCCTCATTTTTCAATACACCAAAATCTGTTAGTTTTTCAAAAGGTAAGAGAGAGGCATTCTCTTACCTTTTCTGCATATATGCAAGAAAATAATGTCAAGTGTTCAATGTGTTCACACTTGCTGCCGTTTGTTGAGTTTGTTAGTTTGATTGTCAGTATTACAGAATAGTTGTTTCATTCTATATTGGGAGGAATTAATTCAACAATCATGGAAAACAGTGAGGAAATTAAATTCCTAAAGGAAACAACATTTTCTATTGGGCTCGGAACCTTTTAAAATATGTTTCTATTTTGTTCATCTAACGTTTTTTCTGTTTCTGATTGTGAACACAGTTTTACTAACAGGTATTACAATCTAAATATTAAATTAACTTGTAAAATATACAAACACTATGAATATAAAATAAAATAGGATTTGATGTTCTTCACTAGGAATAGGAAATGAAATTATTGTCACAGCCTAAATGTCAAATTAATTGGTCAAGATTATGTATGAAAAATACAATGTCTTAAATTAAATACAATGTCTTAAATTTATTATAGAAGAGATCTAGAGAAAAAAGCTGATTAAGACAAGGCGAGTCTTCTGAAAAGATCACTCTGCTCAACTTAAAAATCTACTCTTCTGGAAAAGTTTGTGCGACTTTTTTCCAAGGAAGTACTTCTGCAATTTTTTTAGAGTCCATTACTCAAATGGTCACTTAACTAATCCAAATTATCTTTTAAAGTCACTTTTCTCTCGTTTGTAACAACAAAGTAACTATGCCTATTGCACTCAGAAGGTCACTCAACTAGATTTTTTAAATTTTAGATTGCCAAATACCTATTTTATCCTCTAAATTATAAACATTTATCTTCTATTTTATTTTTTTTCATTTTTAATTTACATTATGGACTTACCTATAGAATAAATAAATATTATTTATAAATTAAAAAAAATAAAAGTATTTAGGCATATATAATGCTAGAGTAACAAAATAATGAGCATAGTAAAAAATTAATTAGAATAATTTGTTAGTAATAATAATTTTGTATAACAACAAAAATTCAAAAGGTTATTTACACAATTCAGAATGAAAGAAAATAAAGATTGTAAAATATATATATTCCATGCACGTAATATAAAAATAATTATTTAAATAAAGGTATTTTTATAATATATATTATATATTCTTGAAAATTATGCTCAATTATATTTATTCCCTGCACGACTTAACATATCATATTTTACCCTATACAGATAGTCCCTGCTTTCCGGTGACATAACTTTGTGTCGTCGAAAAGTTGGTAGAAACATAATAATATAATTGAGCATAATTTTCAAGAATATATAATGTATATTATAAAAGTACCTTTATTTAAATAATTATTTTTATATTACGTGCATGGAATATATATTTTACAATCTTTATTTTCTTTCATTTTGAATTATGTAAATAAATTTTTGATTTTTTTTGTTAATACTAAAAAGTTAAAATAATAATAATAATAATAAATATTTATAATTTAGAGGGTAAAATAGTTATTTGTCAATCCAAAATTTAAAAAATTATGACTTCTGAATGCAATAGGTTGTTATAGATGAAACAATGACTTTTTGAGTTGATTGATTCTTTTTTCTTTACAACTTTTTGACTTCCTACTTCTCGTCACATCTAGTAGGCAATTTGATTATATAACCAAATGATGCGTTGTCATTAGAATTATCCTCTAAATCCCCAGCCAAAAAAAAAAAAAAAAAAAAAAAAAAAAAAAAAAAAAAAAAAAAAGATCATCACTTGAGGAACCAACTAAAATAAAATTATCTCCAAATGGGTCTAATTATACAATGTTGAGATTCCCATATTAGTAAACCTTAACTTGAAAACTCCAAATGTTCTTAGCCAAAAACCTACCAAAAAAAAAGAGACACAAATTAAACAGTCTACCCTTTGTTATTCAAATTAACATTATATGATCAACAACAATTAGACTCGTTTCTTAAGCTCCAATTCAAGAAAAGTATGGTAAATCTGAAGTTTTGGTTTCTACTTGCAATTCTTTCTGTGTTTCTTTGTAAATCATCAGCAGTAGAATCAGATGCTATAGAGTCTGTGCTGAGGCGTTTGCATAGCAAAGAGGCACCACCAATAGTGCAAGAATCTGCAGCTAAGGGTGTTTTGCAGAGGCTACTTCCTGCCCATTTGCACAGCTTTGAATTTAAGATTGTTTCCAAGGTACTGAACAATTATCTCCTTGGTTTTTCAAATTATGGGTCTCTCCCATTTATTCCCTTTTTGTTTAGGAATTGGTAATTCACTATGTCTGTAACTTAAAGTTTACTGTTTTTCTTGGTTTAATCCATAAATGCTCAAGATTGTTGAAGTAACATCATATTTTTGAAGAACCGCTTAACTGTTTTAGTTATAAACACAAATGACATCAGTATATGCCCTTTGTGTGAACTATTAATTGGTTCACTAATAAGTTCAAAACCGGCAGCACAAATTTTGGGAAGAAATTATTATTGTAACACTTGTTAGTACCAAAAAAATTGGTAAATGGTCCTTACTTTTATGATCACTGTGTGTATAGGATACAATATCCTTGCTTGAATAAGTATAAGGTCAGAAATTGTATTTGAGTGGCTATTCTTAATTTTTCTTTTGTCTAATGATGTTGAAGTGTCGTCTTAGGCTGCTGTAAGTTAGGATCTTTTATATTCTTATAGTTTTGTTGCTATAGCTGCATTTTATTCTCGCCAAACTGACTTGTTAGTTGACTATTTGCAATTTATACATGACATTTTATATGTAAATGTAGGATCTTTGTGGTGGAAGAAGCTGCTTTCGTATAACCAATTACAAGGTTTCAAGCAGAAATTCACCTGAGATATTGTATGTTAACGAATGGTTATAGGATCTCATTATGTTACACTTTTTGACATCTACTGCTCTCTGATTGCTAAAAGTTTTATGTTCTTTTTATTGTAGAAAATTTGTATTTTCCTTTAAGCAGGCAATGACTGTTGATACTCCTAATTTTACTTCTTCCAGTTGCACATTGTTTAGTTAGTTATTGTTTGGTCTAAGTCCTTGGTTCATAATATTGCCAACTTTGCCGCCGTACCAGGTGGCTGCAAAGTGTTTGAACAAGTTTGTTGCAAAGTTCTTAAAGAGATTAGTTTGTTGATGTCAATTGGCACTCTTCATTTTTAGTACGAGCTTTGGAACATGATATATTTATGTCTTAACTCTTAAGGGTTGACAGTTGATTGCCTTAGCCTCTTTTGGCATCTGTCCAGATTTTCTTGTTAAAATAGAAGACAAAATTAAAATATTTAAAACTTTGTTATCCTGTGCATAGATACAGTTGAACATGTTGTGGCTGCACGTCTAGTTCTGCTTCAACCAATATTGTCTAAAAGAGGCTTAAATTAGGTGATGAATCTATCTTTGATTTGTTTTCTCTTAGGATTCAAGGAACTACAGCCGTTGAAATCACATCGGGGTTACACTGGTATTTAAAGTATAGGTGTGGTGCTCATATTTCATGGGACAAGACAGGGGGTGTTCAGTTAGCTTCAGTTCCCAAGCCAGGATCACTGCCTCTTGTAGAAGCAGATGGAGTGACGATCCAACGGCCAGTACCATGGAACTACTATCAAAATGTCGTCACATCCAGCTGTAAGAATACAACTCTCTCTCTCTCTCTCCCCTTCTCCCTTAACCCCCCCCCCCCAAACCCTTTTATGCATAAATTGTTGTCTCATATTAAAGTGCAGCAAAAAATGCACCATCACCGAAATACTAGTAATAGGTATGCCCTCAATACATAAATAATGGGGAACATAATGCGGTATTTAGTTGATTTTTACAGTTTGAGCATCTATCTTCTGATATCCTGTTTGAAAGCCTTATATCACTGTAATTTCACTGTGTTTGTGCTAGCAATATTGATGCCTTCTTTTGCTATTCTTTTCTAGTGATTATTCCTTGTCCTCTTTAGATCTCAGTCCTTTTCTCATCTGATAATAGGACGATGAAACTACAATTCACGATGTTCCTCAATCCTCCTCCGCATATTTGTGCATTGCTAAAGCCACATATTATTTGTATGTTATTCATGTGGTGTTTGAGGGCTTTCATTTGGATATCTTGTGCAATACCAAGGTTCTCTCAGTAAATGCTCTCTTGTGCCCAAACCTATTAGAAGATGATGCCCAAAGAGCAAAATACAGAAGAAAATCAGATCTTGTTGACTGTTTTTCATCCTTATCTTTTCTAAGGCTGTAATCAGTCTTACTCTGGTCATGGACAACTTATCAGGAGTTTGACATTGAAGTCATATCTATCAAGAATGTTAAGTTCATATATCAAAGCATTTATAATAAGTTATAGAGCTGTAGATACCTCTTGAATTCAGCCTTTTTTCTGAACTATTCCAGTAGGTTTAAGCTGTTCAGATTTGAGTTGAGACTGATTGAAAACCCTTTTACTTGATAACTCTACTCTGTCGGCATTAGGAGAATCATTAGTTTTCTATTTATGGATGTTTACTGTTGGTATTTTTTGAGATGCTGCTGGTATAACAACTTTGCATATTTCTACTTTTTATTGGTTTTTGAGATGCTGCTAGTGTAACAGCTTAGCATATTACTACTTTTCCATGCAGATTCATTTGTTTGGTGGGATTGGCAAAGGTGGGAGAAAGAAATAGATTGGATGACACTTCAAGGAATCAACTTACCTTTAGCGTTTACGGGGCAAGAAGCTATCTGGCAAAAAGTTTTCTTGGTATTCTTATAGCTTTGGATTTTGTGGGTTCCTCTAGCTTAATTTAGAGCCAAATGGCTGTTGCCATGGCAATTTCTGCCTGATATTCGAATGAGGAAAGTCATACAAGCTGTTTGATACCTTTGAGCAAGAGCATGAGTTTGTATATGTTAACCGAATCAGTTGTGGTAGTACAGATGCTATAAACCTTTCTTTCTGCTAACATATGCGTTGTTTCTATATTGCTAAACTTAGCACTTCTTTATTGAATCTACCTCTATGAAGTAGGCCAGTACTTGGGCTTTATTTCAGATAAAGTTTGTTGATTAAAATGTTTAGTTTTTGTGCCGAGTAGTTAAGGTTTCATATGCCATCAGGTAAAATCTTGTTCTCCTAGAATGCAGCAATTTTCTCTGAAATTTACTGAAAATACATCCCTTCATGCTATTAATTCTTGGCTATTTTATTTGGTGCTGAAAAGCAATGTGCCAATATCTTCTTAATGTTACTTTCCTAGTTCTTTTATGGTCATTATGTCCATATCTTATGTTGCTACAGAGATTATATCTGCTTGATGTTTACCTTGGGGTTCTTATTACTGATGGTGCGTAGGAGACAAATACCATAGTGCTTGATTAGTTGTCGCTCATGATACAGCCTGATATGGTTTTATAAGAAGCTTCATTAGATGCTTATAAGCACTTTCTGATTCATGTTTGTTTATGATCAGGATTATAATATTACTACTCAAGATCTAAATGATTTCTTTGGTGGACCTGCCTTCCTGGCTTGGGCTCGCATGGGAAACCTACATGCGTGAGTACCATAACCCGTCCCTTATATCTAACTTGTCTTTTCAATCAAGGGCTTTTCCAGCCACAACAAATGCTGGTAAACCGTATGTTGTAACAAATGTTATCTGGTTCAGGTATCTTGTGAGACCAGGGCATATATTTTGTAAAGATTTTGTGATTTAAATGTCATGCGGTAAATTGACTTTGAACTTCGGTATATGGTGCTCAAAGTTAAAGGGTTCAGTACCTAGGAAAGGAGGATATTTCAGATGTGTTAAAGCAGGCCTATCTTAGGCTGTTCAGCCACATCTGAGTGAGTTTAGCTCGCCTATAAGATCTATAATGAATTCTAAATTTACTTGTCATCTGATTGATGCACGCAATCCTTCTCATATGATTGGACGGCCAACAGGGATAGGCTACGTCTAATAAAATTTTCCATCCTATTGTGGCCTCTTGTTCTTAGTAGATTCTTTTTGAGATGGGAATCATATGTGAGGTCCATTTTTTACCAATGTTATAAGAGCTTGAAGAATTGTTTGTGCCTCAATTTTTTGCAAAGCTAAACTGATTTTCTCCATGCTTTTTCCCTAGCTGCCTATTGTCCTTTGCTATTTGTGTCTTACCATTTCTATGTTGAGGTAAGAAAGACCAGGTGTCATGTTTTACCCTCACGAGGATTAGTTGTCTTAACACAATCCGACATTTTCCTCGTTAGAGTTCGTATTTTTTTGAGGATGAAGATGAAAGCATGCATCTTTAGCGACACTTTTTTTTTTTATAATTGTGGTGTCGGGGCCAGCTTGTACGCACCTCGACTAATTCCACGAGCTACCTGCTACCTCCCACCAGGTATCTAGTAACTCTATCCACCAAGGCTTGACAGATTGGAGGAAATCACCTAGTGTTTTTGTCTCCTCTGAGATTTGAACCTAAGACCTCAGGTTCTCAACCCACTTCATTAACCACTTGGCCACATCCTTGGGTCCTTATCTGCACTTTTAACTTGTTCGTACAGCAGATGCGACTAAATTCATCCCTATTTGTATTACATTTCTCATGGTATCTATGCTTCAAAGTTTGCTGTGGATTGCTCTCTGTATCTTATTTTGTTTCATTTTTGGATATTTACACTCCAAATCTATATTGCACTGCAGATGGGGTGGACCTTTATCTCAAAACTGGTTAAATATTCAGTTAGCATTGCAGAAACAGATATTATCTCGGATGCGAGAGTTGGGCATGACCCCAGGTATGCCATTGTTTTTAGTTTCAAAGGAATCTTTCAACAATTTTTTCTTTCTTTGTTATGTTCGAATTCTGATTAGCAGACCATGGCTTCTTGTAGCCCGGTGTTTTAATTAAGTTGAAGGTGTTTCTGTTATTTACTTCTTCAATTCACAATGTGATTGCTCAAACTAATTTTCTTGTCTTCATTTTTCTCCAATGGCTGCTAGTGCTTCCATCATTCTCTGGAAATGTTCCAGCTGCATTAAAAAAGATATTCCCGTCTGCAAATATTACAAGACTTGGAGACTGGTATGTCAATTTTTGAAGTTTGTTGTCTCAATTAGTACATTTCCATCTTGCTGATCCTTTTCATAACATTGTTTTCTATTACTTTTATGTTGAGGATATGCAAAATATTTCACAATCTCTTTCTTTCCCTTCACTTCACTCTCCATGCTAAGTTTTAGAATTTTTCTTCAACATGTTTCTAAACAAAGTTCGATTTCTGTGATGTTCGTTAGATGATAAGCTTATGACAGCTAGTGAGATGCGTCCTTTAGTTTCTTTCCTCCACCCTCCTAGTTTTTGACCAACTTCTCTTCTATAATCTGAGAAAGAACGATAGTTTTCCAATTTTAAATTCGTATAGAGCAATGTACGAATTCCGACTAACCTTTCTTGTATTGAAGAGCTAGAAGTATTAAGGACTCACTTAGCTTTCTGTTTCTGAAAGTAAAAATTCTATCCCTGGTAATTTTAAAATTTTCTTGTTTCTGAAGTGCTCCCTAAGAAAGTACATCTAACTTGGCTGAAAATTTTATTGTCAGATACTGGGAAGATTTGTTTGTTTTGAACCTGATGGAGTTTATACTTTTCTTAGGAACACTGTTAATGGTGACCCTCGATGGTGTTGTACTTTTCTCCTTGCCCCTTCCGATCCTTTATTTATTGAAATTGGAGAGGCATTTATCCGGAAACAGATTGAGGGTGAGTTATACTTCTGTCCTTCAGTTGAAAAGGATTTGCCTTTAATAAACAGACTACAGACAAAAGTTTTTTGGTCTTGAAAAATGTAAAAGGATTTTAGACTAACCTCTTTTTTTTCTTGTTCTAGTGCTTTATCTTTTTCATTTTGAACATAGAACATTGAGGAGCCAAAGCTTTTTAAGATATCACACTTTTCTGTTTTCAATTCTATGTTAAATGAACTAATGGAAATAACTAGAATAAACAAGAAATTACATGACCACTACACTTCACTGGGGAAACCAATGAGTTCCCCACAGCTTTATAACTGTAAAATATTGAGGAGAAGACAGTATGCAGAGATGGCACTGCACAAGCTTTGGAAAACTCAGGTTTCCACATTGTTGCAAGCAACTTTTCCAACTTAGAATATCCTAGTACAACAACTACGTCCCAATCTCAAACAAGTTGGGCTCGGCTATTTGAATCCTCAGTAACCATTGTAACCCATTTAAACTCATCTCATGCCAATATTATGCTAATACAAATAAAAATATTAGAAGTTCTATTTATTTTCTAAACGTATAAATACTACTCATAGAGAGCAGATTTAGAATAGCCTGTTAAATCTGCTAAAATATGCCTGGTAATGACAGCGATAGTTAAATTAAGTTAAGATATGCAAGGAATGGAAGGGAATTTTTAACATAGTCATTGACATACTCTTGCCTACCTGGTACATGTAGAACACAGAAATATGATGAAGCTTATAGAAAGGCAAAATTCACATACATGACAAGCACATGAGTGAGCACTTCTTTAGAAAAGCGACAAATGGAAAGCACTTGAATAAGTATTTTTCCAGCAAGATGAACTTGTTTGACCCTGACTGCATGTCCGTTCCCAGGGAATTAGGACCTTTATGTTGGATCCGTGCTATGTTACTTCTGGAGTTGTATTCTGTCAGTCTGTTATTATTTTTGATGGGAGCATGGGTTTGTTCCTAGTGAGGATTTTTGAGTTTGGTATTTACTGTTCTACTGGATTCTGCTAGTCATATAACATGAGTCCAGTTTTCAGCATTTCCCCATTTGTACGCTCACTCCAAAATAAGAGGATGGCATGCTTTGTATTTATGCCTTTAAAATCATGAGTTTAACAATTAGCACTTGTATTTTATCAGTCACTGCCTAATGAAAGCTTATCTAAAATGTGGCTTCTGTCCTCTTTTTTCTATTTTCATTTTCAAGTGTAATTGTTTCCTTATATCCTTGACACTCATAACCATTCTCAGAGCAACAAATCTGATATGATTTTATGGTTTTGATAATGCACTTAAGTTAAATTTGAATAACATTGTAGGGAGGGGGGAAGCATATGTTTGATGCATTTTCTATTCTGACAGACACCTCTTGACGGAGAAAACATCTTGGCGTAAGTATCAGAAAGCCGACGAGGGTGGTGGTCCTGCCGATAATTGATATACCATTAGACTTTTATGATCATTGATGACTTCAATTAAGCTCAAAATACTTGAATATTGCTGTTTCATTGATAGTATGTGCTAGAGGTTGCTAGTTTTTGCAATCTGGTAGTGTGTGAATATTGTAAAATATGGTCCTTTCACTTGACACCCCAAAAGAAAAGTAAGCTCAGTATAGTGAGCTCCTACTTGCTGACAATTCTGCTCCACTTGGGACCTCCTTTCACGAGAAAAAGAAAATAAAATGAAACTGGCGATTTAATTCCAATGCCTCAACTAGTACAACTTTCAGCATCTAGTTCTCTCTCTCTCTCTCTCTCTCTCTCTCTCTCTCTCTCTCTCTCTCTCTCTCTCTCTCTCTCTCAGTGCCTATATTTTAGTTGAACTGCATTATAAGGTGCTTTAATGGATCAAATACATCCGACCTAGGAAGAAGGCAAAGCACATATGGTGTAGTAGATCTAGTTTCATTGTGATGTTCATATTTACAGGGGATTGGGTGTGATGCAAATTCTCAATTTCATTGATGCAGTCATATTGTTGGTTGTAGTTCATGAATCATTATCTATATTGTTGAAATGTGTGACCATCTCATCTAAAAGCTTAGGCCGTTAGAGAGTGCACATTTTTATTTAGTTAATTATGTCTTCAACACGCCTCCTTACGTGCGGGCTTGATTCTTTTTAATGAGCCAAGCACGTGAATTTTTTTTTTGATATTGGATAGCGGTGAGACTCGAACCTAGGACCTCTGTCTGCTCTGATACCATGTTTAAGTGTGACACCATCTCATTTAAAAGCTTAAGCTGTTAGAGAGTGCACACTTTTATTTACTTAATTATGTCTTCAACAGTTTGTTTGGACATCTTTCTGAGGAAAAAAAAAACTTTAATGTTTTGCAGCCTATAATTGTATATTTCCTGTTTGATCTCAACTGACTCTTTTGTGATTCATGTTTCTTATGTTCACTGCAGAATACGGAGACATCACCGATATTTACAACTGGTAGTCCATCATTCCACTAAACTACTTCATCTGGCCTAATTAAGTACAATGAATTCGCAAGCAGTTTCAAGTATTTCACTTTGATCTATTTTATCAAAAAAAAAAAAAAAAAAAAAAAAAAAAAAAAAAAAAAAAATCACTTTGATCTTGTTTACAAATGCATGTTGCTTATTATCTGGTTTTATATAAACGCCTAAAGCAGGTGACAAATTGTTTCTCTTCTAGGCTCTAACAAAGTATGTTTGAAGGCTTCTTACTTTTTAAAGCCTGGAAAAGTTGATTTTATTGCTCGTATCTTTTATATATTGTTTGCTCTTCCTGTCTGACTCTATTTATTGAACTGAAACTTCAGTTAATGTGATTAGGAGCGATGTGGGGCTATAAAGATTTATAACTTAAAAGACAATTGTCCTACTTGTTTTTTTATACCCTTAAATGTATGAACATCACCTTTTTTGCAGCAAGTACTAGTAATACTATTCTCTTTTTTCTTTAAGCTTAATCTCTCCTCCTAGATGATCCATTTAAGAAGGGAGAGTCACAACTCTTTTTTATCAGAACATAAATGGTGGAACTTGTAACAGGGTCTTGCTGAATAAGTCGAAAACTTCTTGATGTTGACATTAATGCCCAGCGTAGGGATCTCATATGGTTGTTTTAGGGCATCAAATTTTGAATTCTTTTAACTTCCAGTCAAGGATTATTCTTAGAGCCTAGAACAGGCAAATAAAAATTTTCACTCAAAATCTGAGAACTGGCATGTTTATACAGTGATACTTTCAATGAGAATACTCCACCTACTGATGATCCGACATATATTTCATCTCTCGGCTCTGCTGTGTACAAAGCAATGTCAAAAGCAGATAACAATGCGGTGTGGTTGATGCAAGTATACTTCTTATTCTTACCACTAATACTCTTACTTGGCTACTGATTTGTTCAATGATATCTAGTATTATTGTTATTAATTTTTTATAAGGTAATAATATGTAGCATTAATTGAGTTCTATTGTGATCTGTTGTTAATTTTTGGCATCTTAAAACTAGTAGTATAGAAAAATGTTTTGGAAGTTAAAAACATAAGAAACGTGAGTTCACCATTGGGATTTAATTAGTATTTACACGTAATCTAGAAAGGAAAAACACCTGGGTATGGAAAAATCCTTGATAGGGAGAGCTTCCCCCCGAATGGGGCCCTACGCGACGCGAATCCGGATATAGTCGGGCTCCAATGCGGGTACCGGACACCGGGTGGGAAACAAAAAAAAAAGATAACTGGAATAAGAGGAGTACCTTTTTTGAACTTTCATGCTAGAAATCTCTCTTGTTGTGGCATAATTTAGATGTTATGCATATCGAG